CACTTGCTCAATTATTAACTTAACACCCCAAAACCCCAAAACCCCAAAACCCCTTGAATGAGGATAGACCTTGATAGTGTAGAAATATTGTGGAAGAAATTTATTTATTAAAAAGTACTAATTGTCTCACTAATATTTTATAAAGTTCCATTCTAATTATATCTTTAATTATTATTTTCTGTCAAAAGCACCATCGTAACTATGCATTCTTGGGGAAAATCACAAGATGATCATAACTTTTTCGATCGATTCAATTAAACATCCTTTAAAATGGCTAGCATATTAGGAGGAGAATTAAGCTAACTTACTTCATTAAATTGCGAAATAAGCTCAGTATTTAGACTATAGAGTTAATAAGATTTGTACGACAAAAGAGCATTATTTGGGTTGAGTCAAGGATTTCTAATACAATTCAAGAAATTGCACAATGGGATATATCAAAGTAATGAGTATTTAGATGTAAGCTTCTGCTATATGCGGGTCATCAGATCAAAAAATTAATCAATAGAGAAAGAAATTGAATAAATAATTTTGTAGAGTCGCAATTCTAAATATATAATAAATGAACTGGAATAAAAAGAGTATAAAAAATGGATAAAGGTTCTGAATAATTATGTGATAAGATTAGATCAGCCGTCGAATATGAAGATGGTTTAAAAGTTAGGTTTTGGGGCAAATGCAGTTGTTTTTTAAGTAGAGAGATATGAACATGCATAATTCTCAGAGTTTAAAACTTAGAAGCAGTACTATGCTCTTAAAGTAATTTAGAAAAGTAAAATTAAGTGCTGCAAGTAATCAATCGACTAAATCAAAGAAGAAATTAGGACTCATCGTGCTCTATCTCAATGCGAATCTGCTCTAAAACTTCACAAAGTCTATGAGACTGCTAATAAACTCTATCTTCTGCTAGATTATTTAGATGGAGGCAACCTTTCTACTTTCTTAAGAAAAAGAGACAATATTAAGGAAAGTAATATAAAATCAATCATAGAATAATTATTACTTGGTATACACTTCATGCACTAATAAAATATCGTTCATAGGGATCTAAAGTTGGATAATATTTTGCTTAAATCAAATAAAAATGGTAAGTATGAGATAAGAATAGCTGATTTTGGATTAGCTACCTAATTGAAACAAGGGGAACATAGATATGATAAATGTGGAACCCCTACATATATAGCCCCAGAGATTTTAAGAGATGGTGAGTTGACCTTAAAGTCAGATTTGTTTAGTTTAGGGTCAATTATGTTCAATTTATGCACTGGATAATATTTATTTGATCTGGCCGAATGTAAAAAACTTATAATCATCAATTAAATTTGCGATTTGAGCCATATTCCTGAAAAGATTAAGCATTTGTCATAGATGTGCTAGGATTTAATATTTAAGTTATTAAATACGGATCCTGAATAGAGAATAGATTGCTAATAAGCCTTGAATCATCAATGGTTTTGAGAAGATCATTTAGCAATAGAGTATAGTTTGGCAATCAACAAAAAAATTCATTAGCAAATTCTACACTAGAAATCTCACATTTATTCTGAAGATTTAAAGTCTTAAAATGTCTAAGACAATAGTCCCAAATAAGGAAAAATAGATTTTAACGGAATAAATATGGAAGATCAAGATAATACTTATTTAATTCCTAAAAATTATAATAGAACTTAAAATAAAATTATTAGCAAAGGAAGGCACAATATGAGTGCCTAAAGTTCTTAGAGTTAGATCTCAATATTTGATCAAAGAATTAACTCAAAAAATGCCATTGAAAGTATAAATTATTTCAAAATAATAGAGTCACATCGATCTAATAGCCTAGTGTCAATCTCAAAATTAAATTAAAAACATAATTAATTTGATAATAAAAGCAATAATGAGAAATAAGAAAATTTGTCACTAAAATTTTCAGTAAATTAATTAGATGAACCAAGTTAATCTTTATTAATTAATGAAAACTCACAACAAGTATTTCTAAGAAAGAAAAGTAGCTTTAGTAAATAAAAATGTAGTACACCTAATAATAATATGAAAAAAAGTCTGTTTAAAAAGCATAATAGGAATAAAGAATTTCCAAATCCGATCATCTAGTCAAATGAAAAACTTATTGAGCTTGACTTTGAATCACATGCAAAAACGAATCAATAATTCTAGAATCTTAACAAAATTAACTAAAATGCTGAATCCAAAGTAAAATAATCCCAAGATATTGCTTTAGGTGAATTTGCTGAGCTGATAATAGATGAAGAATTAGGACCAGAGAGTCAATTAAACATCTAAAGCAAACTAAATTAAGAATATAACAGTGAATAATTTTAGTCTAAATTCTTGAGAGACCTTAATATTATTAGAACAAAGAGAGTATTTAATAATTATTGAAGAAAAGTTGAGCTAATTATTTTAAAACATAAGTTTATTCAAGTATTTAAGGTTGATATTTTCAAAGATTTTTATTAAAATGAACTATTTTATAAACTTATTTTAGCAGTATGGGGTTTTGGGGTTTTGGGGTTTTGGGG